AAAAAAAAAACAACCCCCAACTAAATAGTGAAGTCTCAACCTCAGAGTAGAAAACACGAAGCTATATCTGACATTTTTATGCCGTTTTGAGTTACTAGGACGGTGGGATAAAAAACCCAATGTTCTATACTATGCTCTATCAAAATTGCAAGATTATTCACATAGATCTAGATATCTAGTCATTATCAAAATATTCAGAGAATTGCATTCGAAAAGCTTGGCATGATTCGAAATTTAAAATCTTTGACGTCAATTTTTTTTAAAACTGTGTTCTGGTTTTGAACAGATAGAACTTTGCATGAGTTCTCGAGTAGTGAAGTGTTCAAGTGAGTCTTCGGTTGGAACTTGGGGACAACAACAGACCCACTTGTGTCTTCTTTTTGCATTTTGCATTATCATCCCGGGCCACACCCCACCTAAAAATTAAAGTAATAGTGATAAGAACGGAAACAACAACAACAATAACAAAAACAACAACAAAATCAAACAACATGCAGATCAAACAGTACATCGACCGGTCATTTCCTCCTTCCCTAAAATCTTCATCAAGTAGGCCTACAGCTACAATATCTGCAACAGACATCGGCGATCATGTTTCTCTTTTCATTCCTTTGCTCGGGTGCTAAAAAAAAAAGAGATATATTAATATCTTTTTTCCCTGCCACCAATCTGTTCAGGTTTTCCAATAAATACGTTGCTCTGGATCTACCATTGTCTCGTTTGTCTAAAGTTTTGTCAGTGAGAGCTAGATATACAAGGCCCTAATACCTATATTCAGAACTGCGTTTGTCTTTTCTTGATAGATCATGCAGGGTGCCCAAAACGGGTTGGATCGGCCGATCGGGCCGATTGCCCGACTCGATTGCCTCAAAAACAAACTTGTTTGTTTTCAGTTTCAGGCGATCGAATTGAGCGATCAGCCCGATCCAGCCGTAGTGGGCACCCTATATAATGTTTTTTTTTTTTTCCAATTCATCAGCGAGCGGTCCACGTGGGTTTCGTCGAGTACTAGATCTATATCTACATAAATTTTTTTATATCTTTTCCATCTAAAAATGACGGACTTGCTTTCAAAAGCGATATTTGTCCCGGCTGTAAACTTTTTAAAATCTGTAGAAACCACCCACTTAGGTTTTTTTTTTTTTTGGCTATCATTTATTTAGGAATTTTATAGAATACAGCTAGTAGGTCTTTACAAAAATAATGACCTGTTTATGGTTAAGAAAAAATAAATACAAATCATTGGGCAAAAATTGGGGAACCTATATTATCTATATGTTCGATAGTTGAGGACATACATGTATTTGACATCAGTTGCGCCACGAATTTTTGACCGCACTTTAAAAACAGTGTCACCGGCATATCTCTGTATGTTTTTATTAATGTTTTCGCCATTCACTTTAATACTTTCTATATTTTTAGAATTGTTCAACTGTATCTTATTACATGTACATGTCTGAGGATTTGGGCCCTTGTCTCAGCTTCTGTTTTGATCTTCTTATATTCGATGTATTCTCCATCAATTTTTACAATGCGTTTTGATCCCTGTCGTAACAATTTTTAGATCTTTTCCTTCCTGACTCTTTCAAAATTACACGTAAGTCACTTTCCCGTTTCCACTGACCTTCCTCATCCGATTCAAAATTTAAACAAGGCCTACCTACTTAGTACCTACATAGAATCACTAACGCGTTGGGAGCGCCCCCTCCCCCACGGTCCCAACGAAACCAAGCAAGACAAAACAAAGCAAAAATAAACAAGGCAAAAAAACAAACAAACAAACAAAGCAAATACAAATCAGAACAAAACGAAAAGCCCTCACGAACTGACAACATTTATAAATAGATACAGACCATAAAAAAATAAACAGCAAACAAGTAAAACTGCGCCAATCCATACAATATAGGCCAATGTAATATCCCCCTTGCAAGGTAGGCTACCCATTTACTAATCAATTCTATTGAAATGTTTAAGTTTTAGTAAGGGTTTCACGCCATTTTTAATACAATTACATGTACATGTAGGTCATAATAAAATATAATCGTCGAAGATTAAATAAAGGTGTAACGTGAAAGTAAAATACAAAGAAGAGAAGGAGAAGAGATAAACGCATGTGTTTGACATGAAAGAAGGAGCCGAGCATCCGCCAACCACCCACAAGTCCAAAGAGCATCTCATCTTCAACACCTCCTCACTACCCCTCAATTAATGAAAAACCTATCAATTAATTACCGTGTATTCAACACATTGAGTGTATTACAAGGACCTTGTCTCTGTGTAACCTCAGTGAGTGCATTGCAAAATTAAAAACACGATCCCGTGCTAACACTGCTAAATGAACTTCGTACTCTTTATAACTCGCAGTTTCACTGTCAGAATTCCTGAATGGGGCAACTTTTTAAAATTTTAGTCAATAAACATTTCAGCATATAAAAACAGCGTAAGACAGTGTTATTTTCTCACCAACACATATAATCTAACCTACCAAATGTAAATAATCATATCATGCGGGCATACACTTTAAAAAAAATAAATTTCACACAATATAAAACAATATTCCCATATGGTGGACTTCCTACATTGCACAGCCTGCCACAAAAACGCTGTTGTTGTCGACCGAAAGCGAGACCGGGGATGCTGGTGGAAATTGGAAATAATAAACAACAGAAAACCGTAAACAGAGTCACAGAGGTGTATGATTGATATTGTTGTCACAGTGCCACCGACAGCGTCAAAGACAACCTGAATGTAAAGAGCTGTGTCCTGATTTGAACCTAGAAGAATAGTGCTCCTGGATCCTGTTGAGTTCTCCTGATAACATTCGACATTCGAGATGGTCGAGGCTGATATTAGCCAGGGCCAAGGAGACTTCGATCCAGACATGAGGGTAAACAAAAGAGTTTTGTGCATTGAATGATGACCGGGCTATGGCGTAGATCTACATTCCGATAACTTACATATAAACACTCCCCTTCGAATTTGTAGCTTGTGGCAATTATGACCAGCCTCCTAGTCTAATGCATTTATAAAGGCCACCCGGGGTGAGAATAGACTGAATAGATAGTGCAGGCGAGTCTTTTGGCTATTCTCACCCGGTGCGCGTTCAATGTTATAGCCTAGATCTAGGCCAACAAATTTTGCGTTCACCCTAAACCACAGAATTCTACACAGTGATAACAGAACAATTGTAGAATTCTGTGGGCCACCTCTATTCTCACCCGGAGTGAGAATAGTGCAGGCGAGTCTTGTGGCTATTCTCACCCGGTGCGCATTCACCAAATTTTGCGTTCACCCTAAACCACAGAATTCTACACTGTAATAACAGAAAAATTGTAGAATTCTGTGCCGTGAACAAACGTTCCATTACAACTGTAGCCTACTAAAAGCGTACAATTTTGTCTGTGGGCAGTGGAGAGAGAGAGAGAGAAAGAGAAGAGAGGAGTAGCGCGAGAATTTCCGGGCAAAACAAAATGGCGACCCGCGTAGTTCGGCTCGATTCGAAAAGTTAAACAGCCGTAGCATCTTTGTAGACAACCAAATTAACTCACTTTTGTGTTTTAACATCATTTTTTAACTTTGTTTTGGTCAATTTGATCGTCCACACCGATAGACAGTATTCAGAAAGAGACAGAGAGAGAGAGAGAAGAGGGGAGGAGTTGATCTTGCGAGAACTTCCAGGCGGGTGAGAATAGCCACTTTCAATTCTGTGCGGTGAACAAACGTTCCATTACAACTGTAGCCTACTAAAAGCGTACAATTTTGTCTGTGGGCAGTGGAGAGAGAGAGAGAAAGAGAAGAGAGGAGTAGCGCGAGAATTTCCGGGCAAAACAAAATGGCGACCCGCGTAGTTCGGCTCGATTCGAAAAGTTAAATAGCCGTAGCATCTTTGTAGACAACCAAATTAATTAAATAGTTTTGTGTTTTAACATCATTTTTTAACTTTGTTTTGGTCAATTTGATCGTCCACACCGATAGACAGTATATTCAGAAAGAGACAGAGAGAAATAGAAGAGGGGAGGAGTAGATCTTGTGAGAACTTCCGGGCGGGTGAGAATAGCCACTTCCTTTATAAAGAAATGTAGATCTAGTGATCTAGTATCATCAATCATCTAGGCCAGGCGGTGATCTTATACTTTAACTTTAGCGCTTTAGCACGTTAAATTCTTCAATTGAGGACTTCCGAAACGAGCGACCACTATCAGATCTGGATCAAAGTTCTATGTCATCAAGATTACACTCAATGGCTTCCAAAATCATGATGGAAAACTGAAAACCACTGTTATACGATCTGTTCATGACAAAATTACTGTAGTCTCCTAATTAAATGATAATGACTAATGAAAAAGGCCACCTCTGTTCGGGGTGAGAATAGCGCAGAAAGAGAGGGGGGCTCTCGTGGCCTAGAGGTTAAGGTTTTCGCCTCTCTTTCAAAGGTCCCGGGTTCGAATCCGGGTAGTGACGGAAACATTTTCTACTCTAAAATCATCTCCTTTCACCTCTTTTCCTGCTCTCTAGCCCTATTCTGTCGTCTGCTTTTGTCTCCTCTTTCTGCCCCCACTCCTCACCTCCTTTGCCCCCTCCTCTGGGCTCCTGACTCTCTCTGCAGCCTTTCTACTGCTACTCCTTGACTCCTTCTTTACTGCTTTCTTTCAGCCACACCCCTGATCTTTTGGTAGGGAAGATTTACACCTCTAGCCTTCTCGGACAAGGGCGAAAAGTCTTGGAGGGCCCGTGTGCAAGTTGCGCAGGTTAAAGATCCCTTTGTGGTCTAAATCGATAAGAGTAGTAGGCTTCGGTCGCCACATGGGCAAATTAAAAAATTTCCTGCCAACAAAATGTTAGGTGTGTCCAGTGCGCTCATATGACCGTATGCAGTTGCGAGCGCCTTAAAAAACACTCACTTAAAAAAAAAAAGAGAAAGAGAGCCAAATGAAATTCCCCGGGCCAGACACGATTCAAAAGAGCCAAATTTCTGGGATTTGGCTGCAAACTGACAACCCTGACTGTGGCTATTTGGACACGAACAGTGACGAACATGAATGATTTTTTTGACTTTGGAAATCAATTGTACTCGACTATGAAAATATAGATTATTTCACAGCACTCGTGCTAGGCCAAGAGCGAAAAGATTTTCTGGTCGAATACTCTCGTTTCTCGTTTCATGTTCTTTATATAATAAAATAGGCCTACATGTGCATGAGCAATTTAATTTTACTCAACGAAAAGACTTCTTCGTCCTGCTGATTTCGCTATATTTTAATGTGTATTTTTGCTTTTATGATTGAGGTCAATGATATTATTATCTTTGCCGCTTGATGTCCAGTTCCTTTACTGATCCCTCCCCTCCCCCTTGTAATTTGTTAAAGGCTATGTGTTGTAGTGTATTGTAGTGCTGTTTCGACAGTTCTATCTCCTGAGCGGAGTCACACATTTTTCGTTTCTGTTTTCTGTCGGTCTTGAAGAATTTTGAACTTGAATTTATTTAATAATATAATTGTTCTTCTTGTATCTTTTTCAGGCTGCCCTGGACAGTATTGTGGAAGAGCTGATCGATGAAGTGTCTCTCGGGCTGTGCTTTGAGATTCATCGCTCCTGCAAAGTGGGCTCCATGTTCTTGAATGGATTCGATGACATGTGAGTGCAGCCTGAGTGTATTTAGACTTCTGTACTCATTGATTCTGAGTCTCAAGATATTTTTTGAGTCATGAAATTGGGCTTGACTGAAGTTTTCATTGACCAGGATTTCCTTGATAAAAAAAATTAAATCTAGCTGACGGAATACTTGATAGTATCATAGTTTAATATTAATAGGTAAAAAGTCTATGCAAGAATTCATTTTAAGTTTTCATCAATTGCCAAGTGGTCTAGTTTTGGCTTTGATGTTTGGCTGATATGATGTCAAGTTGCTAAGCCATAGCAGTAATAATAATAATAATAATAATAATTGCATTTATATAGCGCATATCCATGTTCAAGAGCATGCTCTATGCGCTTTACAACTATTATTACCCCAGCAGACCCTCTGAGAACGCTCAGAAACATTCTCAGCTTCCGCGGAAGCATACAGTACAAGCTGCGGATTTCACGCGCTCAAACACTATCAAACTGACAAGATCTTTCACTGTCTATAGCCGGGTACCCATTTCCACCTGGGTGAAGTGAGGAAAATTTGTGCAAAGTGCCTTTCCCAAGGACACAACGTTGGGCCCCTGACGGGATTCGAACCCTCGACCTTACGGTTGCGAGTCCGAGAGCCTAACCACTAGGCCACCGACGCCACTGTGACTTGACTATAATCACAACTGCTTGTTACTTCAAGAGTAATGGAAAGCATTTTGTTCTTCTGTTGAATTGCATTGTGTTTTTTAAGTGAGTTTTAAAATTGTTCATATATTATCAATTATCTATTTGTGGTGGCCGAATTTTGCTATCCAAAAGGCTTTTTAATGGCTGCATCGATCGACGTGCGGTTTTCACCAAAAGATTCTTTGAAATATTCTCCAGATCATGACGCCCTTTGTTTTTTAAGTTTTTAGACAGTTTTGCTGCAAATAGCTGAATTTCTTTATTTCGCAGATCGCTTTTGTAGGCCCACGCTTCTGTCACTGTAATTTTAGAAAATCCGCTAGATTTGTTTATTTCAAGTCGTACTTCCGTTTGAGACTATTGCGCATTTTCGCGCAATACTAAGCACTATTTTAAGTGTGCGACCCGTATAGATCTAGCCTCATGTTTTCTTTTTTATACTTGGTGCTAATTTCGACTGTGATCTTTTCGTTTGATGCCCATAAAATAACTGTGGTTTAGAATCATTTAAAGGGTGCACAGTTATATTTAAGGAGTCTGAAGTCACTGTAGTTTAATTTTCAGTTTTTCATTAGTCTCGTTTAGATCTTATCTTGGGAAAGTCCGTCTTCTAAGACAAAAGGCATTGTAAACAAGTGAGGCTTCCGTTCACAAGGAGTGCGTACAGATCCCTCAATGACTTGACGATCGATTTTTTTGAGTCTGTTCATCGAACGGGAAACCCAGCTAGTACAGTATAACACGGATATCTCAAACTGGTCGGGACTGGCCTCTGTCGTTCGAGGGATCCCTTGTTTGAGGTATACGTGAACAGTGATGGCATCGCTTGTGTCAGAGAATCAAGGGAAGCAACAAAAATTGTTACTTTAGGGGCAAAGCAATGATGAGAAACGCTTCCGAGTTCGATGGGTATTGAGCCTACCGGTATCAAGATAGTTTATTTGTGTAGGTCAGTTTGAGCAATCTATAGTCTACATCTATCGATCGGTGCCTTTTCAAAATTTTCAAAACTAAACAATTTGATTGTATATGATAGGCATATTGCAACAATAGTCAACGACACGACAACAAAACGATGCTGCCGTACCCTGCCTTTCCCACCAAGCGCGCAGTCCTTTGCAGAGGGGTGGATGGGCTGATCATACGATGCTCAACACTTCCTCTCGCCCTCTCCACACAAGCCTTGCAAGGTCTTGGACCTAGGCACACGCAGAGGGCACACGTGTCGAGGAGAGCTCTAAAAATAGCACAGCTAGCTGCTTCTGTGGAAGGGGAAAAGTGGTATTATTTATAGCGACTTTGCCTGTGTCCATTAAAAAAAATTGTTATTTTGTCTCAAGTGCACCTCAAAGAACATTGACTTTAGACCTCTACGGGGGCGTAATTAGTTAGACTATTCCGTGTTTGTGCTTGAGCTTCGCGTAATTTTCTTACAAAGATAAAGAAGTAGAAAAAAACGGTACCGCAGACTCTGACGGATGCGAGATTTCGAATAATCTGTGTTTGACCTATCCGGGTTATACTATGTATTTTCTTCTTCTTTGCTTTCGCTGACAGTCAGCCTTCAAATCTGGAGGTATGCACAAATTGTGCAGTTACTTTCTCTTTAAGTCCCCACCAGATACATCGTGTGCATCTAGGTCTCTTAGTACAAATTTAACCTCAATCTTTGTTTTATGCAATTAATTTATAATATTTGTGTTGTAAGTGGAGTTTTACTTCTGTGTGTTTCAGATCTGACACAGAGTATGGTGAGTGCACATCTTAGATATAATAATATAATAATATATGTGAGGCAGCGTGGTGGAATCAGGCTCTCTTCAATTTTTAGACATGTAGAGTTATTGGTATCATCTTAGAGCTTGTTCACTTGTCTTTATTTGGATGAAAAAAATAACCATTTATGTTGAATACAAGTCGAGATATTTGCAAAAGAAGGAGGTGTGGGTCACCTGTTTTCGGAGGTAAAATAAGTGAGAAAATGGCCTCCAAAGATTAGTTATGTTAGACAATTAGATTGCTTTTATCAATATACAGAAGGGAAACAATAAATCCTGGATTGTTGGTCCCTATATTAACATGTTGAATTATGTCCCTGTAATTGTACTTTTATTTATCTACCCTCACAACAAAGATTGTCTGATCTTAGTGATCTTTACTCACTCCTCCTTCCTGTTTCAATCACATGTACTCATGCTCATTATGATTTATTTAGTCTTGTCAGTGAAGCCAGAGAGGGCAGACCTCATATTATTTTCATCATTAAATTACCCTTCTTCATTTAGAAACGGAGTTCCTACGTTTGCTTTATTATATACAATAATGGCAAACAACCCTAGTGCAACGTTATTTCCTTAGCTTAAGAGTCCGTGGTAACTGAAAATTTACATTTTATGTGCCTTTAATCAACGTTTTCCAGAAAAATCCACACAGAAATTAGTTCTTTAATGGGCATGAAAGGTGTTGAGCCGATAAACAAAAATTTGATAAAAATTCACAAACCTGCGGAAAAATGCAAGTTTCTTCATTTTGATTATTTTGACGAGAGCCTGATTCCACCACGCTGCCTCACATATAGTAATAATATTTGCATTTATAGAGAGCGCTTTATCCCATACGAATGTAAGCTCTGAGTTTGTATCCTGCATATATGAAACTTATTTGTAGTGCTTTGCCATGGTGCACTGCACACTTTACGTTGTTCGTCATCGTCGTTTATGTATGCCGTATCTGGGTTATATTTTATGGTTTTTCGTCGTCTTTTTCTCATTTTCATTGCTCATCAACTTTTTCTCTTTTTCATGGTTCGTCATCATCGTTTATGTAACCCGTCTCTTGGTTATCGTTTTTTTAATGTATCATTGTTGGTCATCTTTCTCTCCTTTTCATCTTTTGCATTCATTGTCTGTGTATGTTGTGTCTGGGGTCAGCAGTGAAGGTCGTGTAGGGCCTATTTTGGCTTTATGTTTCATCTTGGGAGTTTGTTTTAGATCAAACAGGTCAATTTTAATTTTATAAGATGCATTATTTTGGTGCATTTCAAATTGACCTCTTTTTAGTTTTCCTCTCTGGCCAGAACCATAAATTTTTATGTAGTTCCATTTTTTTTTCTTTCTCTATGTAAAGCAGGTGCTAAAGTAGTTTCATTAAAAAAAAAAAAGTGTTTTATTTTGCAACATATTTTTATATTTAATTAATAGTGCTGATGGAATTGTACAGCTGATAGTTTTGCCCTTATTTTGCTGTGTGTTTGAACTGTGGCTTCTATGTGGGTTTGGGCAGTTTGAAAGTAACACTGTTTGGTCATTTTTATATGATTTTATTGCCTTTTGTAATATATATATCTTTCTGTCTGTGGCTTTCTCTCTTGCTTGTTCCCTGCACTAAATGACAAGATTTGTTTTATGTGTAAAATCACACAGTGGCAGATGTGTTTTTTACTATCCTGTAAGGCTTTTGTCAGAATAAGCATATATATATATTTGTGTGTGTGTATTGCTCTTTCGAGTATGTGTCTATATAACTCTGAAGGTCTTGTAGTTAAATTCTTGCATGTGTTTGAATGATGCATCTGATGTGATATATATACTTTTTGTCAGCTTTACTTTTCTTTTCATATATATGTGGTTGGTTGGCGGGTGCTCTGGTGTGGTTTGCTTCTTCTTTCCTATCAAATATCTATCGTCCTTATCTCCCCTTCTTCTTTTTTATGTTTGTTACTCTCTTGTAACGCTTCTAAAGTCTAATCTGCTGGGGCTCCTATGACCTTATGCAGTTGCGAGCACCATAGAACCTCTACTAAAACTAAACTAAAACTAAACTTTTCATATACCGGGTATTGAATTTTAATGAGAGTAATATATCATTTATGTATACCTGCATACATGTTTTTACGGTCTTGTAACGGTCTTGAAAGAAAACTCTCCCTCTGGGATAATAAAGTATCACAGCAGATATCAACAATGTTGTTTGCCAGAGAGGCTGTTTCTTTCTCTCCCGCCTTCTCAACCACTGATGATGTGGATCCAGAAAATAGATAGCCTCGTAGATTTGATAGATAATGCGAGTTCACGATCGACGGAGTTCTAATTTTATCTAAGCTTCGTCTAGGACTCAAATTTTCTTAAATTTCTCAAATGTGAGGCAGCGTGGTGGAATCAGGCTCTTGTCAAAATAATCAAAGTGAAGAAACTTGCATTTTTCCACAGGTTTGTGAAATTTTATCAATTTTTTTTTTTTTGGCTCAACACCTCTCATGCCCAGAAAAGAACTCATTTCTGTGCGGATTTTTCTGAAAAACGTTGATTAAAGGCACAAAAAATGTAAATCTTTAGTTACCACAGACTCTTAAGCTAAGGAAATAACTAATCTTTGGCGGCCATTTTCTCACTAATTTTCCTCTGAAAACAAGTGACACGCACCTCTTTCTTTTGCAAATATCTCGACTTGTATTCAAGATAAATGGATATTTTTTTCATCCAAATAAAGACAAGTGAATAAGCTTTAAGATGATACCAATAACTCTAAATGCCCCAAAATTGACGAGAGCCTGATTCCACCACGCTGCCTCACAAATATTCTTATACTGAGCCAAGTTGCTGCCTCAGAAGTAAATAATGTCTGCTCAGTAGCCGACCTAGTTTTGAGAAATTTGACGTAAAAATTTTTCAGTTTCACAATATGATCAATATGTCAAGCCTTTTTGTTTGTTTTAGTAGAGGTTTTACGGCACTCGCAACTGCATAAGGTCATATGAGCGCCAGAAGATAAGAGGTGTTACAAGAGAGTAACAAACATAAAAATGAAGAAGGGGAGATAAGGACGATAGATGTTTGATAGGAAAGAAGGAGAAGCTTTTTTTAAATGCAATTCTTTGAATATCTTGATAAAAAGGAATATTATTATGTTTTGACAGTGCAAATAGATCATTTGGCTTCTGACATCATGGTCTTAGTAACTCAAAACGGCCAAAAATGTCAGATAGAACTTTGTAATGCTAAAGTAGTCCTGTGTCAACAGATTCAAATTCAATGTTTTTCATTTTTGGTTTTACGTTGTTTGCAGCTATTATTGACCGGCCTGGAATGGACGTTCTTGGCCAGGTTCCTTCAAAGAAGAACTATGAATGTGTGTGCCCAAATTGCCAGCGCAATCTGGCAGCCTCCCGGTTCGCTCCTCACCTGGAGAAGTGCATGGGCATGGGCAGGAACTCTTCTCGAATCGCCAGTCGCAGGTCAGTGAGTGCGGCATTTTTGGTCGTCATGATTTGGTCCTGTCATAGCGGGCAGATTGTATGAAAGACGTGAAAGCTTACCCAAACATTCCGTGTTTCAACTTTGTTTTAGTTACTGTTTTCCGGCACTTGCAACACAATAAGTGGGTGGTTGGCGGGCGCTCTGGTGTGAGTTGTGCCATAATGCCACTAGCCTTTTATATCTTGTTTGTTGGTACTGTATCTATCATTAAAATTTGGTAAAACCCAAAAAGATAAATGCGTTGGTAGTCCCAAAAGAAACATGCAGGGCAAGTTTTACCATTATTAGATGACGAAGTCTATTTAAACATTTTTTTCCCTTTTATTTCAACAGTAGCAAAAATGAGATGTGCCTTTCTGCTAATGTTGTGACGATATATATACACATATACTTTTAAAATTATCATTATTATTATTATGATTAATTACACGCAAATCGAAATTGCTGTCTCAGCTGAATGTTTCAGAGATGTTTCCCCCCATTGTGCATCTATCCCCCCCCTCCAACAGGATTGCCAACAATCAGAAGCACGGGGGCAGTGAGGAGAGCGGCCAGGAGGATGAGAACGACAACGACTGGAACTATGCTCCCGAGTCTAAGAGATGTACGTTGTTGTTGTTTAACTATGCTCCGAGTCTAAGAGATGTACGTTGTTGTTGTTTAACTATGCTCCCGAGTCTAAGAGATGTACGTTGTTGCTGTTTAACTATGCTCCGAGTCTAAGAGATGTACGTTGTTGTTGTTTAACTATGCTCCGAGTCTAAGAGATGTACGTTGTTGTTGTTTAACTATGCTCCGAGTCTAAGAGATGTACGTTGTTGCTGTTGCACGATTATAGCACGCCTGCTGAGTTACTTACTTGTACTTTTTCATCCTCTGTCGCTGTTAAGATTAGTGTGGAGGGGAGATGTAGTTTTCTATGGTAGGCCAGCTCCGCAGCTCTTTCAATTGGGATATTATGATTTCTCAGGGTTTCCTTGACTCCCTCAATCCATCTTTTGCGTGGCCTTCCTCTTCCTTTATAGCCTGAGTGCTTGGTGTTGTAAGCTCTGGAGGCTGGCTGGCTGGCTAAGTGACTTTCGTTACTTGATAAAATCAGAGCTCTCCACCTTTTTTTTTTACCCTTTGAAGAATTTGGGAGTCGGATTTGCCAAAAAAGTGTTCAGCTCTTTGCTTCCTTCTCCGCTGTCGTTGTAGCAGTGTTTGTGTGGATGGTGACAGTTGTCATGGGAACGTTGGGAGGTGAAGAGTTGGGACTGCTTCCACAAGCTGAGACTGATCATCTTCTCCAAGTAAATCAGAGTTTCTCTGATTTTTTAAAAAACCCACCTTGAAGAATGCTGATCGGATTTGCTTAAAATCTGAATTTTTCTCTTGAATTCTATTTTTGTCACGTCCTACAGGGCTTATCGTAAAGGGTGTGAAAATATTCGTTTTTATTTGTGTATATTTATAGTATATATTTATTTGACCCCTTTGATTCGTTACTTAATCTACTGGAGTTGTGGAGACTGATGGAAAAGAATAGCTACAGATTATGATTGGGTGCTGTAAAACTTTTAACCAAACGAATAAACATAACTTTGAGAAAGAGAGCAATAGCTAATGTTTTAGTACCGTAAAACTCTTGTCAGACACAACAAACAAAGCTTTGAAATGGACATCCAGAGATAATGCTTTAGTGCTGTAAAACTCTTACAAAAGAAACAAGGATTTGAGAAGGACAGCCGTTGATAATGTTATAGATAATGCTTTAGTGCTGTAAAACTCTTTAAAAAGAAACAAGACTTTGAGAAGGACGGCTATTGACAATAATGTTTCCCTTTTCTGTGCTCGTATTTCAGTGCGGAAGCTCAAGAAAGACAAAATGTCCAACTCCCCGAGGAATCGGCGTCTAGTGAAACTTCGAAACGGTAGTAAGCAGACTTGTGCAGATGTCCCGCAGTTCACTGTTTCCTGTTCTGTTTTGTTTCGTTTTGTTTTGTTAACTCACGAGGGGAGAGAAGATCTGTGCCGGGCCTGGTATAGCTCTGTTCTCTCTGCGCCATTGAGCGCTTCACGAACAAGAAATGGGGGCTCTCGTGGCCTAGACGTTAAGGCGTTGGCCTCTCATTCCAAAGGTCCCGGGTTCCAATGCGGATAGAGACCGAAAAATTTTTTCCTCTAAAAATTGTCTCCTTTCACCTCCTTTCCTGCTCTCCAGCAATGTTGTGTTGTCTGCTTTCATTTCCACTTTCTGCCCCCACCGCCTCACCTCCTTTGCCCCCTCCTCTGGGCTCCTGACTCTTTCTGCAGCCTTTCTACTGCTACTCCTAGGCTCCTCCTTACTGCTGTCTTTCTGCCACAGCCCTGATCTTCTGGTAGGAAAGATCTACACCTAGCCTTCTCGGACAAGGGCGAAAAATCTCGGAGGGCCCGTGTGCAAGTTGCGCACGTTAAAGATCCCTTTGTGGTCTAAAATCGTTAAGAGTAGGCTTCGGCCGCCACCCGGGCAAAATTCAAAATTTCCTACCAACTGAAAATATTAGGTGTGTCCCGCGCGCTCATATGACCTTATGCAGTTGCGAGTGCCGTAAAACACTTTACAAAAACAAAAGACGAACAGGAAATGCTGAGACCTAGAGAGAAGCCCGCAAGCTGCGCGCATCCACAAAAAGTGTTCCAATGTTGGAATGTTCAGAACGTGGCAAACCTTTCTCTGCCAGAATTGGTCTCATCGGCCACAGCAGAAGCCTCAAGTCATCGCAACCTTTATATTGTTCCAATTCTTCTATTTTGCGGGAGAAATATTCTACTCTGCGGATGTATTGATCGTTGTCAGACATTGCTGGACGAGCTATTATTATTATTATTGTTATTGTTATTTTACATGTAGTTATTATCGTTATTATTATTATTGTTATTGTTATTATTGTTTTTTGTTTGTTATTATTACTATTGTTTAAAAAAAAAAATTATTATTATTGTTATTATTATTATTATTATTATTATTATTATAATTTATTTTATTATTGATATTGTTATTATTATTATTATTATTATTGAGTGCTCCCAGGATTACTAGATATGACACCAGTGGCAGGTCCAACTTGTTTGCCTTAACTTTGTTCTGTCTGTCTGTCTGTCTGTCTGTCTGTCTGTCTGTCTGTCTGTCTGTCTGTCTGTCTGTCTGCCTGCCTGCCTGCCTGCCTGCCTGTCTGTCTGTCTGTCTGTCTGTCCGTCCGTCCGTCCGTCTGTCTGTACAACTCTGCATTACATGACTGCCTTTGTGTTGATGTGCTGCTCTGTACTCAACTCACACTGACAGGTCCTACTTGTTTCTAACCTTCACTCTGTCGTTTCTGTCAGTCTCACTTTTCCCCCTGCACTAAATGACCATTTTGTGACGACACGTGCTTCTCTTTACTCAGTACAACACGGCGTGATAGAATATATACCCCTTAGCATTTGTGAGCGCCGTAAAACCCCATACTACCATAGAAAGAATATTATACCGGCGACTACCGTGTAGTGGGTAGACACTTTGCTGTCACACATAGGAGACACAAGTTTGATTCTCGAGTGGGGTCGGGGTCAATTTTTATGCTCTTTTGTGCTCGGATGTCGTATCCCTTTTAGCGCTTGTTGGCCCTGATAGGCAGGGTTGGAAGCCTGCCTCTTAAATGATCTAACTCGTGTCGATGGGGACTAAAAAACTCCTTTATTTTTTAAAAATGTTGCAGGAAAGTGTTGTTTTATTTAAAACAGAAAATGGAATATATGTTGAGATTTACCTGTCTGGCATGTCTCTGGAATATTTATGTAACGTCACTAGTCAGTCTGTCTCTTTCTCTCCATTTATCTCTTTTTGTCTTTTGTTTTCTCTTTCACTCCATTTCTCTCTCTTTCTTCTGGACAGTTTCAATCTCTATGTTTCTCTCTCTCCTTGTTTTCCTCTGTGTCTGTTCCCCCCCCCCCCCCCCCACCCATTCTTTGCACGCACACAGACACACACATGCACTACACACACACACACATGCACTACACACACACACACACACACATATACTCACTCACACACACACACATGTCCACACTACCCTAGGAATTCCAAGTTATTTCTGTCCAGCACCTAGTTTCAAGAAATGTTGAAGTTTAACGTATTGAGTTTTACATCGTGGTCAAGCTTTTTCAAATGCAGTTCTTTGAATATCTTCGTAACGGCTCCAAATAATCTTAGGATTTTGCTAGAGCTGATGGAACATTCCATTTCTAACGTCATGGTCATGGTCATGGTTAGTCCAAATGGCAAAAAATTTTAGTTACCACTTTTTAATTTTTAGGCAGCGAACACTCCCCCCCCCCTCAAGCCTCTATCTCCACCACCATACAGCCATGAGTCAGTATCAATAAGATGACAACCTAATTCTCCCCATGTCCTTCTGACAGGAAATAACAACAGCCAGGCCAATGCAGCATCAGCAGCAGCAACAGCAGCAGCAGCAGCCAACAGCCAATCAGCCACCAACAGCTCTGGCGCCACAAGCGTTCCTGGAAGTGAGCTGTCGGGGACCAGAGACCATGCGGAGCCGCCCTACAGCTCACTTATGTACGAGTCTATGACCGTGGGTGAGTACTTTGTCCTATAATATTACAGCTCACTTATGTACGAGTCTATGACCGTGGGTGAGTACTTTGTCCTATAATATTGCAGCTCACTTATGTACGAGTCTATGACCGTGGGTGAGTGCTTTGTCCTATAATATTGCAGTTCACTTATGTACAAGTCTATGACCGTGGGTGAGTACTTTGTCCTATAATATTGCAGCTCACTTATGTACAAGTCTATGACCGTGGGTGAGTACTTTGTCCTATAATATTGCAGTTCACTTATGTACGAGTCTATGACCGTGGGTGAGTGCTTTGTCCTATAATATTACAGCGCTCTCATCTACGAGTCTTTGACCATCGGTCAGTACTTTGTCCCCCTTCAATGCGCTTATCTACGAATCTATGACTGTGGGCAATACTTTGTCCTAGAATCTAAGACTCTTACTCTGTACTTTGTCCTAATACAGGGCTCTCATCTACAAATGTATGACTGTCATTGAGTACTTTGTCCTAATACAGAGCTCTCATCTACGAATGTATGACTGTCGGTGAGTACTTTGTCCTAATACAGGGCTCTCATCTACGAATGTATGACTGTCGGTGAGTACTTTGTCCTATTACCGCACACTTATTCACGAATCTATGACTGTTGGTCAATATTTTGTCCTTTTACAGGGCACTTATCTCTACAAATCTTTGACCATTGGTTGGGACTTTGTCCTATTACAGCACTTTTATCTATGAATCTATTACCGTCGGTCAGTTATAACTATTTTTTAGACATTTTTGTATGATATCACTGACTTCACAAGAAAAAAAAAATGTGACTCCATATTTTTTTTGATTGCTCAGTAGACAAGGGTTGAATGTCGTAGAGCTTCTTTCTTTCTGTTGACTTTCTGTGGTCTGCCTCAAAACTATTGTAACTCATTCATTTATTTGCCAATGTGCACATAACTTCGCCTCGCACTCCTGGAGGCCAGCTACCAAACAAAATTAATTTGAGAAAAATCATGATCCAATAATTTGGAAGACTGGATGGAAATGTGTATTTAATTAGGAGATGTGAAAACGGCGCACTCTGTGTTGTTCTGGTGGGAGGGGATGGATGGAGACAACGCGAGGTGTGCTCTTCTGGCTGATTGGAGTTTTAGATGTCGTGATTCCGTATGTGAGTAGGTAGTGAAAACACGGCCTCGCGGCCTTCCGAGCGCCTGGGTATCGATGAAACCGGGGTAATTTAGATCGCTATTTCTTTGCTCTTTCGCTATAAAGCACTAAGTGTTTTACTCCTTGAAAAAGTTCATCTTTTCCTCGTTACAAAGGTGTAAGTTGTTCATATGTCCAATTATTACAAGTTGGAGAATCGCTGTGGAAAGCGAAGCCCCTCTCGGTCAGAACGCATTGTCGGCCGGTTAAAAACTTGACACCGTGCATTGAAATGTTTCACAGAAAGATTGATGATTAAATACTGTCCTTTCATTGGCAGAGAACTGTAGAGCTTTGGACAGGCTTTCCCATTGTATATTTTTTGCCTTTGACGTTTAAATAGAAAACCTTTAAAAATACCATCAAAGTTTTCAAAGATCATTAAATACACGAAATATGTAAAATACCGGCTCAAAAAAGGTACCAATAGTAAGATCAGTTCAGTTTCTATCAGAATGAAGTAATCGGCTTGGAATTATTTTGTATCAATCCTTCCGCGAAACTCGGAGAGCATGTGACCCCCCACGCGGGGAGCACTCGGTACACTTCAGTATAGAGGCGGTGCGGGGCCGGCCGGGTCAACACTCTCTGTTTTTGTCGAAATAATGACAGATCATCGTGTTTGAGGCGATAAATGATTTGTAATGATCTTACTGTCTTGAAAAATTAAGCTCCATGTCTATGTTATAGTGATTGTACTCTGTCAATGTGGAGAAATGAGATGGTTGGTGAACTTCGTACTCTTTTATTATCTGTCAAACATGGGGTTGTAGCCAGTTAACGACTTTAGCAAATTTGATCAAATTTTAAACAGCTACCATTTTCTTAAAAATTGACTGAGAGATTAAAGAATGGTACCAAAATTATCAGGAGATAGAGGCATTTCATAGGAACTGATACATTTGGCATACAGCTACTTTGAAAATTTAGTTTCTGGTACCTAATGTGAGGGGTCCAGTCCACCAAATTCATGTTTATAATAATATTGGTCTAGTTAAAAATAGACATGATGATAGTTCCTTCCTTATGAGATGTCCATGCTCGAAGGCGTATCCTGAGCTGTTTCTGTCTGTCTGTCTGTCTTACTTTTTCCCCCGGCACTAAATGACCATTATTGAGTCGATGTGCTTCTCTTTACTCAAACAAACAAACAAACAAAGACGTATTGTTTGAGTGGTGGTGTGTGCTGTGTCACCACCAATAGTTTGGGGTCTAGAATTGTGCTCACTTTCCAAATCAAGATTGTTAATCAAATTCCTCTTCTTAAAGAGACTTAAAATAAACCTACAGTCACAGGACCATTTGTTTTTTTAGATACGGTTGAAATTGTCCAGGACGGTCACCCGTTCTAGAGGAGAAAAGTGGTTGTCTTAGAAATATGAATGTCTTGGACAGTGCCATTATGATATTTGAAAGAAAAACTGCAAATAGAGAAGTGGGAAGCGGTCGTTTGTACACGTGATTGTCTTGAACATGTGGCTTTTAGAGCAGGTTTCGCTGTATCTAGTCCCATGCTTCAAAAAAAAAAAAAGTGCCACTGGAGTTATGTTGAGCCCTCCAACTCGTTGAGAAAACTGTTTTTGTGCAACATATTTCCCAGACATTGGAAGTACTCTATACAGCGACAAAGCACAGCTGATAAAAACCTGTAAATTCTTTGCCATATCGACAGACCGAAGGGCTAGAACCCAAATGGCCGCTGGATCGCAAAAGTAAAGTGAAGTAAAGTAAAAGAGCAACATATTTTTATTCTGATGGCTCACTGAATGTTTTTGTTTCTAGTTTTTTTTTTTCCTCAGAGGAGAGGAAAGCTCTGTTGTTGACGGTGAGTCTTCTACTGCTGGATGGGGTTGTGAGGTTTAGATATTGTATTATTTGGGTCACCACTTGGTGGAATCTGGTGCTCATCGATGTTGGGCGTATGGAGATATTGGTATCATCTTAAAGCTCGTTCATTTGTCTTGCATTTGGTGAAAAAGATACCAGTCTGTCTTAAATAGAAGTCGGGATATTTGTAAATAAAGGAGATAGGGGTGATCGGTTTCAGAGGTTGTTGTTGTTTTCAAATCCCTTTAGCTGCGAGCATTTCGCTCTTGGCAGTGCTGGTTTCACAGGTCAAACTGGCGAGAAAATGGTTGCCCAAAGTTTGGTGACTTCCAAAGCTTGAGTGTCCTTGGAAGCTGCAAATGTACATATGTGAGGCAGCGTGGTGGAATCAGGCTCTCGTCAAAATAATCAAAGTGGAGAAACTTTCATTTCTCCACAGGTTTGTGAATTTTTATCAAATTTTTCTTTTTTGGCTCAACACCTTTCATGCCCATTTAAGAACTCATTTCTGTGTGGATTTTTCTGAAAAATGTTGATTAAAGGCACAAAATCATAAATTTTCAGTTACCAGGGACTCTTAAGCTGAGGAAATAACTAATCTTTGTCAGACAATTTCTCACTAATTTTACCTCAGAAAACAGGTGACCCCCACCTCCTTCTTTCGCAAATATCTTGGCTTGTATTCAAGATAAATGGATATTTTTTACATCCAAATAAAGACAAGTGAACAAGCTTTAAGATGATTCCAATAACTGTACTTGACCAAACATTGAGGACAGCCTGATTCCACCACACTGTACTTGACCACAGCCTGATTCCACCGCGCTGCCTCACATTTTTTGTGCCTTTGATGAACTTTTTTCAGTAAAAATCCGCATAGTGTTGAGTCCCCCTATAATTAGACGACAGTTGCCCAGCATGTCGGGGGGGGAAAAGACACAGTTTCTTCGGTTTCACCATTATTATGATTGCCTGATATCACCACAGTCACAAAGTAATGTACAGTTTTCAGTTTGCCTTCTATGAATGTATATTTTAAAAAAATTTCTAAGTAAATTTCTGCAGGGAGAAAAAAAAAAGAGAAAGTATCACACTTTAGACAAATCTACTGCTCTCTAATCACACCTCAAATCTTCGGCACTCATAAGATGTATATATTTGTTGTTGTGAGTGCCGTTGTTGTTGTTGTTGTTAGCGATCCAGTAGCATCTGAGCGTTAACTCTTCTGCATGATGCCATTCGGTAATAGCTGCATGTCTGTTCTAATTGTTGTCTTGAGGAGTAGAGGCAGTTAGATGTGTGGGGTAGCTTGGGAAGAAAACATCCCCTTAAATCAGTTAGTTTTCTACAGAAGAACAGATGATGTTCCACTGTCTCTGAGGGGTAGTCACATAGTGGGCAGGCAGCAGACTGCTTTACTCCAATTCGGTTGAGATGTTGGTTGAGGGGTACATGTTGTGTTCTAAGTTGGAAGATTGTGGATTGATCTCCCCTCCTCAACTCATTGATTGGAGTGAGTGCCGTAAAACTCCTTCTAAAACAAAACTAGAGACGGTTATTGTGTGGAGGAGCTTCTTTTTGCACAAACACCTGGCCCTGGCTTTCCACATGAAGTGTGAGACACGCCTCTTGTCCTTTTCTTCTCCTCAGAGCTGTGGCGTGATTTCTGAGCACACTAAGAAGATGTGTACACGGTGAGTGTTTTTGGGGGTGGGGGGGGGGGGGGGGGAGAGGTGTGTGTGTGTGTGTGTGTGTGTGCCTGTGTGTGTGAGAGAGAGAGAGAGAGAGAGAGAGAGAGAGAGAGAGAGAGAGAGAGAGAGAGAGAGAGAGAGAGAGAGAGAGAGAGAGAGAGAGAGAGAGAGAGAGAGAGAGAGAGAGAGAGAGAGAGAGAGAGAGAGTGTGTTTGATTGATCTCAAAACACCCTAAGATGTGTACATTGTGAGTAATTGGGGGGGGGGGGGAGTGAGATGGAAAGTGGGGGGAGGGTGGAGGTGGAGGCCAGGGAGTGCGATGGAAAGGAGGTGTGGGGGTTCAAATGTCCCCAGGCCCGGCTGTCTAGTTTAATCCTATACTGTGAAGCTTTGTGTCCGTTCAGTCACAAAGTCACAGGTATGTCTGGGATACAAAATACGATAAGACTTTATTATTGATCCTTCACAAGAAGATGGAGCGTTTTCTCAGCTTCTGAGACGCAAAACATAAATTATCAGATGCTGTTAATTCGTCTTTATTCTGACTATGAAAGAAAAGTTGTAAAACTTTCTGAAACGCTTTATGTGAAGTTTTGAAAAATTCTGATGAGCGATTTGAACTTGAGAGCACTTTTAGTGAAGGCAGTTCTTGAATAGGAGGGAAGGGAAAAGCGAGGCTGTGTGTCAGGACTGTCCCTGTCATTGTGTCTGTACTACTAGTTACTTTTTCTCTATCCAGGACGGGTAAATGTGTTCAGCACACAGACGAACAGCGCAGACAAGTGAGACAACAGCTGTTGAGGCAAAGGTAAATACTGGAAGACTCTGCCAAACCTCTTTTACGGACATTGCTTTGGCTTCCTATTGAAAAAAGAATTGTGCACAAGTTGGCTACCCTATGTCACAAATGTTTGAATGATAATGCACCATCATATTTATCAAATCTGTTAAGACTGTACATTCCAACTCGCAGTTTAAGGTCATCAGCTGACAAAAAGAAATTTATTTTACCATCTATGAAACTTAAAACAATGGGTGAAAGGACATTTGAATACCAAGGCCCCAAGATGTGGAATGCTTTACCAAGTAATTTAAG